TAGTTAAATTACTCAGTATTAAAGTCTTAGCATTAAGCTGGTTCAGTGGCACCGCCAATAAACTATCGCTTACATAATCTATTTGCCGACATCTTATCACGGTTTAATTGTAATTAATTCGCCCATTATCTTGTCACTGAACTAAAATTGTGTGGTCTAATCAACTAATTGTATCGTTAACTTGATTCCAATTGGTTAATACCATTTGTTATTCTTTATGTATGTGTAAGATCTCCAAAGTTTTCGCACTTTAACGTTGATAGAGATAGCAGGAGCTATCGAAATATCCGTTTGATTTTGTTATAGTTTAATAAATTTGTGTTCCGCAAGTCAACTTTCAATGATTGTACACCGTTTTATCATTGTTTTTAATTTTATATATATATATAAATTTATAAATATATATACATTTATAAATATATATACACTATGTGTGCATTTATTGCCCATGTGCACGTTAAAGAACGCAGTACACTCTTCGGAAAAGGAGTAGGGGATTGTCTCCCGGTGTACTGTCCAATCACCACCAGAAGGACCCCACTGGAAATAAGTCTTCTTCTAGACTTTCGTGGGCTACCCTCGGTGTTTACACCGAATAAATCCAATCCTATATATATACTATACATTATATATAGGCCTATAATAATCAAAATCAGTGGTGGTGCATAAGCAAATAATGTATTCAATAAGACAACAGACGAGGTGGTTAATTTGCCGGAATTTTATTTGAAATAGATGCACACGAACGTTTTCAACCAACACAATGGAATAAACTGTATATATAATGTATGTTAAAAGATGTTCATTTGAGTGCAATTTAGGCCTATTGAAATGTTATTATCAGTGTGTTCTTTATCATGTATAGATATTGTATTGTGTTTATATTTATACTCAATCTTGTATATTTATTACTGTACTGTGTTGTTTATACCCAAAAAAATGGTAAAATGGCCAGTGGAAATAATTTTATTTTTCGGACAATATGTGTGTGTTGTATATGTAACCTTAATATATTTCCTCCCTGATATAACTCAAAGATGATAGTTACTTAGACAATAATAATAATAATAAATTTATTCTTATATAGCGCAAAATGCAAGAAACCTTTAAGCGCTTTACAATGAAAGGAAAAACCGGATCAAAATAAAAGAAAAATGATTACAACAGTGAGGGAAATCAGATTAACATTATGAATAAATATTTATTTATTTATTTTAATTTATTTTATTTATTAATTTAATGACAACAATCTTACCCGTCCCTAGCCAGCATAAGATCAAATCCTTTGTTGATGCTCTCCAGTGGAAGTTGATGCGAGATGAATTCATCCAATTTAAGAATGCCGGACATGTAATCCGCCACCAACCGCGGAATGTCATCAAGAGTCTTCCAACCTATTCAAAATCAACACAATTTATATCTATTTCTTCAATAATTTCTCAATGCTTTATCAATCTACTACTACTGTAGGCCTACATTTGAACTATACAAGAACTCAAGAACTCCCATTAAGGGGATACCCTATAGGTACCAAAACAAGTGTCCCTAACTTTAATAAGAGCGTCCCCCGAGTAGGAGTTGGCCATGTATACTTCCCTTCGTTTCATGGCGGGACGAAAAAGCGTCCCCCTAATATGGGTGTCCCCTCAATAGGGGTGTTCAAAAGGAGGAGTTCTACTTTATGTACCGCAGAGTATGATCGTTCAATTCGAAACAACCATATCTCATGATTATTACATCTCGTTCAATGTCTTGTCTATAGTAAAGTTAAGTCACTTAACTTAAGTCACTTAAGCCTTTTATCTAGCTATAATTGAGTGGTTCACGTCGAACTTTTAACTAGTTAAGTGGATGTATCTAGATAAAAGTTCGACGTTAATAGTCTATAAATTATAGTGCCTCAAATCGGGTTCAATTCTCAATGAAAGTGTCAGTGGCCCATTGCTCAAGAAGTTAACCATGTCAAGACCAACAAATAATATTAGTGGTTAAGTTAAATTCCTGTTTAGTGAATTTGTATAATTTAATAATCTTAGTTTTTTAAATAGTGATGTATCCGCATATTTACAGTGTGAAAGTAAGTGTCTCCTCTCCAATCTGCTTACTTAATGCTTCTGAATAAACAGCAAGAGGACCAAAACAAGTAAAATCCCGATTTGTTTCGGACATTATATTATACAGATAAACATTGACAAAGGAACACAAAATGAAATGTGTGCTGTAATGTACTGTATAATGACACTCGTGATTACAAAGAAAACAGTGGATGAAATAATTTTTGATATTGTAAATCGTAGAAAATGGGAAAACATGATAAAGGGAAGGAAAGCTCGGGGTTAGAAGACAAGATAGATTGGCAATAGGCCTAATTAAAACTTTGGAACAAACAGGAGAATCAACCAAGAAATCCCAAAATATTTTTACCAAAACACACTAAATATTTAAGCCTACCCTAGACCTAGTGTATTGATACGTCATTTGGGTTTCGAGCATTCTCTACTTCACCTTTAGCTGATATACATAACAATTTACGTGTTTCTTACCGCCAAAATATGATCCTTGCCAGGTTCGTCCGGTGACCAGTTGGAATGGCATGATCTTGATATCATGTTCTGGGTTAGAAATACCAACAATGGTGGATAAACCCCAACCCTTGTGGCATGCCTCTAATGCTTCTCTCTGAGTTTGAACGACAAAAAAGAAAAGAATAGATCAGATAATGGTATGAGAATACATAATAAACATCTTGCGGTGTGGCTTCCAGTAACACACGCTTATTTTTTAATTTGTTTTTAAGCCGGGCACAATACGACAAATTCCCGTGAGTGCTACACGACGAGACGCCGTCTACTGATTTGTGGCAGCCTGAACCAGGGGTGGCGCCAATGGAAAGGGGGGGGGGGGGCGAGTGTTCCCCCCCCCCGGGAAGAGCTGGTTCCCCCTGTCGGGGAGAAAAACCACAATTCGTCGGGGAGAAAAATAACTTGTAGGCCTATGTATTTTCTACATGTTATTACTCCAAAATCGATTAAATAAGTCAACATTTTCAGGAGCGACGCCCGACCACGTCCACGTTGCTCTTGTCGGGGACATCGGCCCTCCCGGTCCTCAACGAACCCCCATCGGGCAAATCCTGGCGCCACGGCGAGTCGAGTGGCCTAGCGGTAAGGCCAGGGTCGCCGATAGATACAGCTAAAGTCAGACTCCGGAGGAAAAACACATTTTGGATCAGTTCTACAACATATCAAAAATGTTTTTCCTCCGGATCCTGACTTTAACATCGGCGCTGGTTCCAATCGCTCCTCGCCCGTGGTTTGGTTGGTACATGTAGGAAATGGGTTAAAACTAATTCCTCCATGGTTGCTAGAACCAAGTCTTCTTGGATAACTTAAAATGGAGGTCAAGTGTATGCTTCTGGCTAGTGGACTTTAAAGAACCCAGTGTATCATTCGGAAGAGTAAAAGGTTAATATCGTTCATTTCAACCCCCAGCCTTTTGACATATTTTCAATCTATTAATCTGACGTTGAAAAACACATCGCAATGGGACGACAGCCTAACGCTTGACCAGATGTCCTAAGCTAAATTCTTAGTTTGAAAAGGTTCGTAAACTTAAATCGAACATTAGTAATAAAAACAATATAAATAATAGTAATAATAATAAATAAATAAATAACAATATTACAGTAATAATAAATAAAACAACAATAATATAATAATTATAATAATTTTAATGTAACTAACAAACAAATTAACGTTGTTATTCTTAAGAATAACAGTACATCTCAGTTCAACCGTCCTAACTTTAAAATTGCTGCCCAACAAATGTTAATATGTCAGACATAGGCATAATATAATTATCAACCAAAGCTGCATTCACCCTAAATCCGAATTTTGGGATCGGAAGGCCTACCCGAACCAATCAGAAAATTGAATCAGTGTGGGACGCTGGCGTTCAGCGCATCGGAAACGCGGCCCGAAGTACGGTTCGGATCCGATTGTGAATGCACTACTTTTTTAACGTACTGTACTTACCATGGTGTTGACGTTGCCGACACATTCGAATGTGTAGTCTAGACCTCCATCAGTTATGCTGTTCAGATGCTCCACTGTACTCGTTTCAAGAGTCTTTGGGTTCACAAAGTCCGTAGCTCCAAATTCACGAGCTGTAATTAGAGTTAGGTTCGCTTATTTTCCCTATCATCATTGACATTGTTACCATCATCATCATCATCATCATCATCATCATCATCATCATCATCATCATCATCATCATCATCATCATCATCATTATCATTGTCATTATTATTATTATTGTTATTATTATTAGGCCTATTATTATTATTATTATTATTATTATTATTACTAATATTATTATCATCATCATCATTATCACCTTTATCAACATAATCGTCGCCGTCGTTATTATTCTCATCATTCTAATCATCACCAATGTCATCATCACTAGTGTAATAATAATTACAATAAGTCCTGTAGTAATAAACCTTTCCATAGTGTCAATCAAACTTAACAACTGACCAATAAGAACAGCGCTAGGAATACGCGTGCGTTACGCAAGCACGTGTTGTCCCACAAACGCACGTGTTCGCGTGTTACGTTTTAACACTGGTGAGGGTCACACAAGAGCCCTAGTATCCGGATAGGGAGATAACCGTTAGCGCACCGTTAGGTGTAAACGTTCGATCGGTTAGTGCTAACCGTTACCTGGATCCGGATACGCTATCGGTTAGCAAATTGAGCGCGTTTCTACTATCAACCAATCGTACATTTTCCAATTTCCAGTTTCCTATTGGCAAGTGATTCGGTCATCATCTTCTTAGTATCTGGTTCGGGGATTTCTTGTATAAACGCAGGGCAGCTAACGGTTGGCAGGATCCAGATCCTGCTAACCGATAGCTGCCGTGTGTGAACATAGCCACTGTCGTATTGTGGAACCTTAGTAATAATATCCAAGCCGCGGGGCTTAGTAGAAAGGTCCATAGCAATAAGGATAACAGTGAATTTAATAATAGCAATGATTTTTAATAATATTTAAAATAATACTTCAATTTCATTATAGGTAAGCACAAGCTATTTATTGATAAAAATTTAAGGTGGAAAACCAAAATATGTATTACATGCATTGCATATTTATGAACTGGTGCAACAATCAACTTTTATTATCGGAAAAGGGCCTATATCTTTTATTCTAAATGCATTAGGCTATTTACCAATTTTCTCTTTTCCTGGATTGATGTCAATGGCAATGATTCTCGATGCTTTGACTACCTTGCAACCCATAATAGCCGCTAACCCAACTGCGCCTATTCCCCAGATAGCACATGTCGATCCTTCTTCAACCTATGAAAAAAATATACAAAAGATAGAATAATAAAATGGTGAATATTATAGCTGATATGACAATATTAATTCTATGCTATTAATATATTAATACTGATAAATTTATCACTTTTATAGTTGGGTAGAAAATACACGCTCTACATCTCATAAGGCTTCAGGTCGTGAAAAAAGGTCGTGACATGAATTGAACCTAGGATTATAGAATTAGAAATAAAAGCAGGCATTTTAACCACCAAGTTATTCAACTCCACATTATTCATAAAACATAACTTGGAAACATATATAACCGCAAAAGAGAATGATAGATACTGCCAGGCCAATAGATACAGGGGCTTATCTGTGATATCTTGAATCACAATATATTCATCCACAGTCGTTCTCATGGTCCATTAAAATTGCATGAAATGTTGTTGTTGTGCTGTCTTATTTTTTTTAAACGTTAATAAAAATAATGATGATGATGATGATAATAATAATAATAATAATAATAATAATAATAATAATAATAGTAATAATAATAATAATAATGATAATAATAATAATAATAATAATAATAATAATAATAATAATAATAATAATAATAATAATAATAATAATAA